AAGAAGGAAATAGAAGTGACTTACAGGGCCGCTGTGAGCGTGCTGTCTCCCCGCGCAGCAGCACGCCAGACTCTACCCGGCTGCCGGAGGAAGCTCCTCTCAGCCCTTTCATGCAGGGGGGGCTCATTAAAAGCCGCGGTTCCGCAGCGCCTCCCGCGCACCCCCCGCTCCCCTCTGCTCCGCTCTGTGCGCCGACGGGAAATCGCTGCCCGCTCCCCGAAGGGCGCAGCCTGCAGCAGATGCGCCGGGTCCTTGCGCCGATTTTCAAACGCGTTTTTACACCTCCGCTGAGAGCGGGGCTGAGGCGACCCACTCGACGTTAGAGACGGTACACAGAAATATCGTTTTTCTTAAGTTAGGGCGTTAAAAATCTTACTTGCGGTATATATTACTATAATTCGGGGCAGAAACAAATGCGGGGTAAAGGAACCAAGCGCGCAGCCCAGCCATGGGAAAACGCGCCCCGTGGGGATAAGCGGGGAGAGGGCATCTGGAGGATGTTGTATACCAAGTGGATGGGGGATGAATACCCCGGGCTGCGAGGACCAATCCCCCCTTGCAGCCCGGCCGAGCAGATACCGCCGGAGCCGAGCGAGGGGAGCCGGGCAGCGTTCCCAGCAGCCCATTAGGAGAGCAGGAGAGCAGCAGGAAAGTACCGAGGGTGAAGGGGGAGAGTAGAACACCTCACTCGCGATTCATCTGTTAGGACAAACTTTCCGCCTCCCCAGTCCAGCTCTAAATGTGTTTTATAGACGTGAAAGTGCTCCCTTTATCCCTGCTCCCTACGTTTTCCCTGACCCTAAGCCATTCTTTTGGATGAGATTTGCTCTCCAACACTTTGAAAAAGCCACTTTAAACAAATCCCTTTTAACACACTGAACGGAGGATGTCTTAGTGCCGAGCTCGGGGCAGGTGAGTTGGAACATCCTCCCCACACCTCACCCCTCCCCTGCTCTGCTGCCGTTGTTACAGCTCTGGGACCTACAGCGGTTGGGAGCACGGAGGAGGGGAAATTCCCTCTAGAGGTCACAAAATCGCTGAGGAATAAAGAAAACGTGCCTCTGCCCCTGTCCGGGGGTAAAGGAAAGACTGCGAAGTCGCCATCCTTCAGCTGTTCGGAGGACGACGGATGCTTGAGGCAAAATAGAATGAGTAAAAAGCAACGGGGGAAAAAAAATGCAAGATTTTGGAATGGAATATAATAAAATGTAATTCAGTAAAATAGCAATTATATATATATACATAGATATATATATTTATTATTATTATTATTATTATTATTATTATTATTATTATTTTAAGGGGAGGGGAGGGAAAGTCCGCCGAGTGTGATGCGGGCAGTGGTAGGGAAAGGAGGGGAGCGATGCTGAGGGCCGCGACGGGACAGGAGGGGTGACACAGCGAGAGCCTATGCATCATCACAGCCCCGATTTGCCGAGGACGCCAACTTTAAATCAACTTTTCTCCATCTGCCCCTACTTTCTACTCCGATTTTTTCTATACCTTTCTTAGCCGGGAGAGAGCAGTGGTGGGGAGGGTAAAAACAGCCCCCCTTCGAAAATAAAAAAATGAGAGCAAATTATTATTTCCCAACTCCCCCCTCCCCGTTAACTCGCGATCCCCAGAGATGATGGAAGGAGAGCTGGCCTTGACCGTCCTTTTCCCAGGCTGTGGCTGCAGATCCATCACCTCGCCCCCCCTCCTGCAGCCCCCAGCAGGGTTTCCAGTGACAGCCCGGCGCTAATAGGGGCCCATTGTTGGAGCAATTAGCCCCACGATCTCCACCAGCCGCCAAGATAAAGGCTCGGGGGTTAATTCTGCAGCCGTTGGGGGGGAGTAGGGAGTAGGGGGGGGAGGTGGACGGGGGGGGAGCTGCGGGCAGCATCCTTTCAACTGGATCATCCCTTCAACTGGAGAGGCGGACGCGAGATGGGGGGGAATGGGGCGAGTCCTGTCACTGAGAGGTCAGAACGGGTTTGGTGGAAGTGTCTGAAAGTCCCAAAATGAGAAAAGAAAAAGAAGATAAACTCAGAGACCCGGGGCGACCCACCTTAAACTTTCCCCTGCAAGTGACCATCCAAAAGGCACAATCCCTCCACCCTCCCTTGGGGATCACCCCAAGCCCTGCTGTTACAATAGATATCGGGGCTGCGTTCCGGTCCTGGGGAGCCCCGTGCCCACCGTTGGCACCGCCGTGGGTTTCGCTAGCTCTGCTCGGGGCGGGGACAGGCAAAAAGCCCCCTCCTTCCTCCCCCTCCCCAAGCCCCCAGCCCCCTTTTAGACGACAATTGACTGAAAGCGGATTAAGTTACGTTCGCCGGCCTGGGGTTTTTACAGGGTACCAGAATAGTACAGGTAAAGCTGTACAAACAGCCGGGAGCTACGAATCGGAGGGTTACGGAGAGGACACGGCCCAGGGCAGAACTCCCAAAGATTTTTGCCCGCTGTATAACAACTTGTGCTCTACCGAAGGCAAAAAGGGGACGGGGAGGGGGGGGGGGCAGCGCGGCTCCCCCTCTGTGCGCACCGACCCCTCCCGGGGTGCAGAGCGAAAACTGAGGTCCCCGGTGCGATAATCTCGGGTTGGACAAAGACGGGGAGAGGAGGGAATATTTCTCTTTTTTCTCCCTTTTTATTTTATGATGATGATGAGTCCTTCGCATGAATCAGGAATTACGATCTCTTTCCCCCAATTCTCCCCAACCTCTTCCGCCTACCTCTCGGGAAAATCGAAGCTCAAATCAGCATAATTAATAAATAAAGTAGTAATAATTATATTAGCAACAATAGAATGTCAAAGAGCAGCATTTCTGCTTCCCTCCTTTCCGCGCACCCCATCCCATGTCAGCCCATCCCTCCCCGCTCTGAACCCAGCCCCAGGGGATGGCTGCACTTTCTCACTTCTGTTTAAAAATCGCGTCTATCTCTCTGTTTCCGTTCTCTTCTAATAATTCATTTCTCTCCCTTTCGCGAAGATCGGGAGGGAAGGCACAAACACACGCGCACACACAAAGCAGTGCCGGGCAATGCAAATACAGCAAGAGCACAAATCAGAGCCTGATGACAGCGGGTGCGATTTTTAATCCCTTCGTGCAACACTCAACCCCCTACACACGCATACACTTTTTCAGCGGAAAAAAAAAAAAAAAAAGTTTGTGGGGGGGGGGGGAAGGGGAAAATCCTTGCTCTGCCAAAAGACAGAAATTCGAAGAATTAGAACTGGGGAGGAGAAAGAGAGTGGGACTTTTCTTTCCCCTCCTCCCCCCCCTTCGTATCTTTGAAGCTGAGAGGAGGGCGACTGCCCCGGGACACTGCAGGAGGTTTTTTTTTGTTTTGTTTTTTGTTTCTTTTTTTAAAGAAAAAAAAGCTGAGAATGATCAAAACCGGCTCCGCAAGTCCCAGCGGCGACCTCTTCCCCCCCCCCCCCCCCCCCCCGCCACATTCCCCAAAGTGCGCTGCACTACTGCGGAGCGGGGCCGGCCGGGGCGGGGGGTGCGGGGTGTCCGTGTCCCCCCCCGGGTTGGATGGGACCCAACGCCGCTCCCTTTCCTTCTTCCTCCTCTGTTCCTTTTTCCGTAACGCAGCCCCGGTTTCACGCTCGGTAAGTCTCCTTTCTCCCTTTTATTTCCCCCCGTTCTGTCCTTTCTCGGAGAGCGATGGTGAAAAGGTGTTCTCCTTCTTTTTATTTTTTTCCCCTACTCCTTTCCCTCTTTCTTTCCCCCTCTCCGAGCTCCGCGGAGAGGATCCGCGCTGCGCAGACCCTGCCGCGGCCGCGGGCAGCGCTCTCACCAGCATCTCTTTTCGGTTTCTGGCCGAGAAAAACGCGAGATGGAGAAAAGAGGAGGGGAAAAAAAAAATAGTAGATATATTTAAAATTCCCCCCCCCCCCCCCCCCCCCAAACCCCAAAAAAAAAAAAAAAAAATCCGTTGAGTTTAAGGAAATGAGTATTTACAACCTAAATGGTTTTTTTTCTTTGTTTGCTTGTTTGTTGTTAAAAAGGAGTCAGTTTAGTATTTTCTTTCCCTACAATGCAGGTTTTAAACAAATCATATCCCTACAATTACCATCGGCCGATGTCAGTAACGAGCGCTGGAGGAGGTCGGGGTGGATGCACCACCGCACCGCCCGGTTCAGGCGCTGGGAAGGGATTTTCTCGGCTCTGCTTTATCGCCCAGGACCGTTCTGAAC